GGTCTGGCGACGTCAGGTGACATGCTCTGGGGATGCTCCTAGCACTTACGTCTCCCGTACCAGACAGTCCCATACAGGGGGTTGGCCTCCATCACATCTAGGTTGTTCACGGCAGCATTTGGCTGGGGCCCACATTCTGTGTCAGGCAGCTGCAGTGAGGCTGACAGGGCTGGCCGCACTGGATCTCCGTGACCTAGATCACAGCGATTCGTGAAGACGGTCAGGTCCGCCGGCCTCGGGCAGAGGCTGAGGGAGTTGCAGGCACTCACCATCAGGATTTTTTTTTTTTTTGGTCTTCTGACTTGTGTCTCAATTTTCTTCTTCCATTTTACAAAAGAAGGAGTTGGACCAGTTAGTCTTCAAAGGTGCTTCCAAATCTGACTTTCCAGGAATTTATTATTATTATTATAGTTTGGCTGCACATCAGTTCTAGCAAAATGACAAGTCATATCCTGGCTCAAAGGTTTCAAGTTGTGCTATTTCTCAGTCAGGGAACAGAAACCACTCTACTTTTAAGCAGAAAAGGACTTACTACAACAAATCAGGTATTTCTCTCTCAGCTGTTGATGCTTTTCTCTCATCGATATTTCTCCCTCTCTCTCCCTCTCCTTTCTTCTCTCTCTAAAAAATCAAATGAAAACATATTTTTAAAAAGAAGTAAAAGATAGTAAATATAAAAAGATATTAATATTTAAAAAATAATAAACCCCCTCCTTTTAATCTCTTAAAGGAGAGATTAAAAATCCTATTAGCGATGCATCCATCTATGGGTGATGTCCATTCGGTTCAGTCACAATTCTACCTCAACAACCTGTAACCTAAGGGCTACATTATCAAGTTACCAGCAATAACACACCTTACAATACTAGGGAACATGTGGGAGGTGGGGAAGAAATGGGTGGTCGCTATAAAACATAGACACACGACAGCAAGGAAAACATGAAATACTAATGTAGTCCTCATTTCTCTCTCAGGTTCTCCTGAATTGTTTATATCCATAACTTTCTTTCTCCATTGCCCATTCTAAGTTCCTTGTCTCCCAGCTAGTACCTCAGCATTGGTATGATGACCCAAATCTTTATTCCTAAAAGAATTGAGCCCTTAGTGGTCTAGCCTTTAGAACTTTTTCTCCTAAATATGGTAGTAGTACTAGAAGTAGCCCCAGAGGGTCCTTCGGGTTCTAGGCACACCCCTTCCAATCCCTCAATGAGCAACAGCAACCGGTTTCCCCGGGAATCAGGATAAATCGCTCCACCTAACACAACTGCCCCCTTTTAGGCTATTGGCTCAGTGGATGAGGAGCCCAAATTGGGCAGAAGACTGCTAGTCGATGGACTTGTTATGTGCCCTGGTGAATGTATTTCTCTTGTGGTTGTTGAGAATTGTAAACCATTTGTAAGCCATTTGACTATTCTGTAGGGCCAGCTGCTTTAGTTTGATTCCGTGGGTCTTAGCCCATTGCCTCCCTGGATGAGAGGCAGTGTTATGTGGAACACCACATGATGAATAAGACAATCAGGAAGTTTATAGATAATAATGCTGATGATCATGATAATAAATGAAATGGATACTAGTTAATACATACAGAACTTACTACAGACCAGGCATTATATGTACTTATTTAATTCTCACAATCCCAAATGAAGAAACTGAAATAGAGAGGTTAAATAATTTGCCCAAGGTCCGAAGATACTTAAACAGTGGAGCTAGAATTCCTACCCAGACATTCTGGTTCTGGAGTCTATCCTCTGAGCCACTATGCTTCTCAATGTGAACAGATAACCACATTTAGAATAACGGGGGGGTGGGAGGTGGGAGGAATGCCTGGTTTTATAATAATTGGGATTTTTCTGTTTAAAATTTCCTTGTGAATATATTAGGCTTGGCATGCATGGAAACAATCCCTATCTTGAGTGAATGTCTTTTCCAGTGAGGAGAAATTGCTGCTTCCTCTATGATGGAAGGGATCTGATATAATCTAACTGCTACTGGGTGCCCAGCTGGTCCCCTCAGAGCATGGAGCAGGGCTCAGTAGTGAGAGAACAGTCATTGCCGGAAATAGCATGGCTTCACTCCAAAATCATAAGGCTCTGTGCTGCGATTCGCTCATGGAAGTTTGCCACAGCATGTACCCTATGTCCTTATTTGCCAAGGACTTTGCACACCACTGGATCTGCTAGGTCATAAAACCAAACTGCTTGCCTTGCAGCCTGTACTCACTGCTGGCCATTCCCTTTCTGGGCGCCCATCAAAGCTGGTGGCCTTATGGATTACTTGATAAACAGGTCAGTGCAGCACAACCAAATGTGGTATGTGAACTCTAAAATCAAAAGCGATCCATCAAATGCTCAGAAGTTTTCTTCGTGGTGGGGGGTGTGCAGTGCAACAGCTCGTCCTTCACTTTAGATTACCTGCCATGTTCCAGACTCCTCAGGACCCCTAGAAACTCCACCGAGTTGAAAGTTTCTACAGGAGTATTGCCTATCCTCTACAACACATGTGTTTTTTTAAACAAGGCATTTACATACCTGCCACATGTTATTCGATCCAAAAACATGTCATCACATGTCGAGTGATGTCCTGCTGTGAAATGTGAGATGATAAAGTGCCTGCAGATGAGATTTCAACAGAGCCGGAGAGCGGACATAAGCCAGATGTACAACAGCAAGATGGACTGCTGACCCTGCAGGTGAAAGTAATCTGTGTTTCATGTTTGCTGCTCTTTGGGCAAGAGGGGAAAAGCATATTCCAGGTCAATAGTTGCATGGCTGCAGGTGCCAGCAACGTGCTGATTTGCTTTATAAAGAGGTACCTGAAAGAGCAGCTACATGCCAAGTCCTGTACAGGGCAAATGACTTAAATGTGAACAGATAGGGGTCACCACTCCTGAATTTCTCAGTCTCTGATGGTGGTGGTAATATCTACTATTCCCTCAGGGTTGCACTGTGGCTTTTGGCTTATGATTCTGGTGGGGAAGAATAGTTCTGGGGACTTCCCTTTGTTCTTCTTACACAGCTTTCACATTATGTGTCAGTGTGAAGGTTCTGCCAGTTGCCAAGTATGTCTATTACAACTGTAACTACAGGAACTGGGAAATAATAATGGGATGGATATGTGGGACAGACCCAAGCCAAAATTCCTTTTAAATTACTTGACCCCTGCCCACCTGCAGTGGCTCAGTGGTTGAATGTCGACCTATGAACCGGTTCACGGGCAGGGCAAATGCCCAGGTTGCAGGCTCGATCCCCAGTAGGGGGCATGCAGCAGGCAGCTGATCAATGATTCTCTCTCATCATTGATGTTTCTATCTCTCTCTCCCTCTCCTTTTCTCTCTGAAATCAATAAAAATATATTTAAAAAAATAAATTACTTGACCCCTATGTATTAGTTTGCTAGGTACGCTGTAATAAAGCACCACAAATTGGGTGGCTTAAACGCTACTTTATTATTTCACAGTTCTGGAGGTTAAAAGTCTAAGATTAAGGTGTCTGCAGGGTCGGTTCCTTCTGAGAACTATATAGGAGAATCTGTTCCATACCTCTCTCCTAGCTTCTGGACGTTTCGCTGGCAATCTTTGGCACACCTTGGCTTCTGCTGTTATCATCCCGATCTCTGCCTTCATCTTCACATGGTGTTCTCTCTGCGTGTTTCTGTGTCCAAATTTCCCTTTTTTATATGGCACCAATCATATTGGATTAGAGGCCCATCCTACTCCAGTATGACCTCATCTTAATTACACCTGCAACAACCCTATTTCCAAATAAGGTTAAATTCTGAGGCATTGGGGTTAGAACTCCAACATATTTTGGGGGACACAATTCAACCCATTAATACCCCATAAGCCTCTATTCTAACTAGTAGATCACAAAGACCTTTTAGGTCCCAAAAAGTACATTAGTAAGAGGTTGGAATAAATACATATCCATTTTCCATATCCAGTTTCTTCCCATTGGCCCAAATAGGACTGGTGACCAGACATGCCCTTTCAGCACTAGCCCCTTTGAAAGTTGACCACAAGAGCCCATCTGTCTGGCTTTGAAGATTCTCTCTTCCTGGCCTGAGAGGAACCTAACATTTCCTTGTCTTTAGAGTTGTTTTGCTAATCTACACATCTTGTTCCCAGCCACCTCGTCAACCTAATCTACTACTCTCCTCCTTGGTCCACTTTGTTCCAGCCATACAGGCCTGTATGCTGTGTGTGTGTGTGTAAGTAAACAGACTAAGGATGTTCTACCGAAGGGCCTTTGTACTTTATTCCTCATGCTTGGTGTCACATGGTTCTCACTCCACTCAGGACTCTAATAAAATGTTACCTTGTTGAAAGGCCTATACTATCCATCTAAAGTAGCACCACCTGCAACTCTCTTCACCTTCCCTGCTTTTTCTTTAGTGCATTTACCCTCATCCAGATAATGAATCTGATCACCTTTCCCCACTATGTTAGTTCCATGGTGACAGAGCTTTGTTTTCCTCATTAATGCATCGTATACCTGAAACATAGCAGATATGAATGAAAGCTCTACTTAAAACATTCCCTGTGTTCTAAACTGACCCGCTTTTAGGTCCTGGGTGGGTAGCTCAGTTGGGTAGAGCATCATCCTGGTATGCCAAAGTTGTGGGTTTGGTCCCTGGTCAGGGCAACAAGTCAATATTTGTCTCTCTCCCTCCCTCAAGTCAATAAAAATAAATAGATATCTGGACCAACTTTCCCGATGCATTACTCCTGGTCTCTGATGGTGGCGAAGGATCTTTCATCTGCTAACGTCTAGAAGACACAACAGGAGTGTTGCAAAGGATTAGAATAAATTTAGTTTTCCGTGGCCTCTGGTCTAGAGTTTTGGGCTTTTCTTAGAAGACAACCATAATCTCCCTTTCCTTATTTCTGCAAGAGGAAAAAGCATGAGCTGTTACCAAGCATTTTCAGTACACCATCTCAATCTTTACAGCCCCACAATTAGAATTACTATCCCCATTTCGGCGAAGTGAAAACAGACTCAGAGTAAGTTGCAAAAGTTTCACAGCTACAAGAAGTGGGGCCCAGGTAAGAATACAGGTTTGGCTGCAAACTCCTGCCCCTCCAGCAGACTTCTTTGATACCATCCAAGTTAATTGCTCTCCTGAGGCTTCAAGAGAATTGCAAGTGGAGAGTTAATAATTTGCATTTCAGATTGTCTGCCTTTTTCCCCAACAGGCTTCCTTTTTCACACGTGGACACTCTCTAGGGTGCCTTTTCCCAAAGGCCCAAAGTCCACTGACAGCATTTCCAGTTCCAGGTGCAGGGAAATGTGCTAAGTCTGGCTGCAATGCCCAAGAGAAAAGAATCTTCCAGGTTGGCTGTTGTCCAGACTCATCATCCTCATTGTAGAAAAGCACAGGCCAGGAAGACAAAGAGCAGGTGCATCTGCGAAAGGAAACAGAAAGCTATCTGGTCCTCAGGGAAAGGATGTTTGCAATTCTTCCTCTGGGCCCAGGGCTAAGGTGCTAGAGGAGTTTGGCACTGGAAGTTTCTTAAATACCGTCTGAGCCGGAGAAAGTAAGGGCAAGAAATCTCTGCCATCTCACACAATCACAAAGTAAGTTACTGCCAAATTTGGAATCTTACATCACGTCTCATGAATCTTTAACTTTCTCTGCTATACTTGTGCATGAGTGTTCATCTCTTAGACCATTTTCTAGACAGAGCCAAAATCCGAAGTAGTACCAATTTAGCTCAATTCTGACAAATTTATAAGATCAGATAAAATTAAGTATGTTGAGATTTTGATGGCATTTCTCCTCTGTCCTTTCACGACACATTTAGTCAGATTCCTTAGTCTCTCTTAAACTAACTTTGCGAAACTCGAGAAAGCTTTTGAAACATGGAATGTGTACCTGATAGCTAACAAACACCAAGGTTATTGCTTAGTGATTAGATTATGCAGAATCAGTACATTTCTTCCTCCAGTAAGAATACTGTTTCCCAATTTATAATCCTGCAATATTCACTGGGATCACTCTGAAGAGCCACTAAATTACCTCTCCATCCTTCCCTCGTCTGGAAACACATTTCTAGTAGTGACTACAATACAGAAAAGGGTAAATAAAATTCTAACAGGAAGACTGCACAGCTGCCTCTAGAGGGCAAACGAGGTTCATTTCAATCTACAGCTTCTCTATTTGGCTGACTCAGCTTAATTCTTCAGTCTGACTACACAGTCCAAAAGAAGCCTGGCTTGCTTCCTATTACGCTAGGAATCCCTAGTTATAGATGACTCCACTGCAGTCTGATTAGAATATAATCCTTTTTCCTGAGAGTAGGAACAGTCAGATCTAGAGACTGTTAAAGAAGTAGTGGTCTGTTTCAAACCCTTGGCTCTGTAGGACTACCCAAGCCAAGGAACGAGATGAGTTGAATTACAACAGAAATCTTTATTAAAACGTGACCTTCAGTAAAGTTAGCATACATACAATATACACACATACATCTGTACACTCTTTGACACACCTCACGGATTGCCACCATTAGTTTAACCAATAAATTAAAACTTAAAAAAGGGGGAGGGTGGGCTGTGGGACTAAGGGCAAAATTTCCCATGTTTTATCTGTAAGAAACTGCAAATTTCTCAGAATTTCCCTGGGTAAAACCTGTGACCAGAGAATCTTTGAAATAAAATACATAAATCTCCATCCCCACCCCCCAAAAAAAGATTTCAAAAGATGCAGTTACAACAAGTGTGCTTCTCGGAACAGGGCATTCATTCCACTTCATACTCTGGCTTCTGCACCTTCTGGCTTCAGCACAGTCTTCCCCTCAGCTGGGGCAGAGAGGTTCATATGGGCACTTGGGCTCGGCGCCACTCCTCGCCCCCTCAGTCCTAGCCCCTTTAGTCGCCTCCCTGATCAGCTGACCTGAAGCAGCACCTATCCAATCCTTCAGTTCTAGCACATCACCCTCATTGGCTCTCTTTATGGTACGTGTTCTCCAAATCACTGCTCGTCCTGTTCACCGCCAGAATGTGAGGAGCTGGAGGAGAACCCGGAAACCGTCTAGTGCTACGGAGCTGAGTCTCAGGTTGGGGAGGACAACTCAGGCTGCATAGGGGGCAAACCAGTCAAAACTGGAGTCCCACCCTCCCCATCACTGGTGCCCTAGGTTTCCCCCCTTTCAATAACATTTTATTACTATTATCATATATTTTTAATCATCACCCGAGGACATGTTTGTTTGTTTTTAATTTTGGAGAGAGAGGAAGGGAGAGGAGGAGAGAGAACTGTCAATGTGAGAGAGAAACATCGATTGGTTGCCTCCTGTACACACCCCAACCAGTGATCAGACCACAACTTAGGTATGTGCCCTGACCGGAAATCGAACCCATGGCCTTCCAGTGCGTGGGACAATGCTCCAACCAACCGAGCCACACACCTGCCAGGGATCTGCCAATTTTTTTAAACTAAAAAAGTACTTCTAAAATTAACTAAGTGTCAGAGCCTCATACTATCTTACCCAAATGTGAAAGTGAAAGAAGATGCATAGCTTTTTACTACTGCGCCACAATTAGAAGAAACCAAAAACTCCTCAGAAGGGAGTGCTGCAACCATACCATACCAGCGTCTCCAAAATAGAGAGTAATAGGCTACAGGAGCCACATCAAGCAAAGGGCAACATGAGAGCAGAAACCCACAGACCTACAAACATCAATGAACACCAATCTAACTCTCAAAAGTTCCACATGAATAGTTATACTGTTGCAAAAGCCAAGAGAAGGGGGAAAAAAGGAAAGAAAAAACCTCTAAAAATTAAGTGCTAACAAAAAGAATCAATCAAGAGCTGCCAAGAACTTGCTCAACGAAGTCACCAGGTACACACACTATATATCCCACTAGATGGTGCACAGAGCTCTAACATAAGGCATGGAGCTTCTAAAGGCCTAGTACCTGACCCAAAAATGCAACTTCTCTTGGGCATCTGACTGATCACATACCTGTCCTGTGGGTTGTAGGAACTGATTATGGAACCGGCCATAGCACGAGTACTTGCGTTGTCACTAATTGCACCAAGACTGGCTGTGTCTTTGGGGAAAATTTCCTTTTGGACATCGGCTTGGACTTCTAACCTGTGTAAAGAGGGGACGTTCAAGTTAATATGAGACCTGGGTATTCCAAGACAGTCTGCTTCTTGGCACACAGCTCTTCCATTATTCTCTTGAAAATTGAGTTGATCTGATCTTCTCCAATTGTCAAACAGCTCAAGGTAGATGCCCACACACTTTCTCTCTTAAATATCTATTGAAATCGTCCCCTCCTTTCTGTCCCCACTGCTACTGCTTAACTTCAGGCCTTCAATATCTTTTGGATAACTGAAATTGGGCACCCTCTGCAGTAGCCCTAAGTCCACATTAAAGTACTTCCAGATCAGTGCCAATGTGGACAAAGATCTGATCACTCAAACAAGTCCTCTTTTGGTTCCCTATTGACAACAGGCATTTAAGGTCTTCCTGATCCGCCTCCAAGCTCTTTCTCCAGCTCCTCTCTCATCACAGGTCTCAAGTCATAAGCACTCGGGATTTATTTTCCTTATACACCTATACATATTAAAAAAGATTAATTTCAGAGAAGAGAGAGGGAGAGACTGATAGAAATATCAATGATGAGAGAGAATCATTGTTTGGCTGCCTCCTGCACACCACATACTGGTGACCGAGCCCACAATCTGGGCATGTGCCCTGACTGGGCATCAAACCCTAACCTCCTGGTTCACAGGTCAACATTCAACCACTAAGCCACACTGGCCAGGCCCCTACACACATTTAATATTTCCATAACTTTGCACATGCTACTCTCTGGAAATTTCCTACTCTCTGGAAATTTCCTTTCTCAAGATGACAAACTCATACTCAGTCCTTAACAATGAAAGTATCATTTTCCCTCACTCTCCCAGTCACTTCCTGCTAAGTGCTCCTACAACACCTATTTATTAATCAATTTACACATCTCTCTCCCAGTCATCTGAGAGCTCCACAGAGGAAAGACTACATCTCATTCACTTTACCCTCATGTTTTACACATACTAGGAACTCAAACATTTAGCAAATTACCCCCCAAGCTATGAAATTAAAGGACATACAGGAGCCAACCTCCTACAAGAGCAGCAAACCTTTCCAATGGTGTCTCAGAGCTAAGAACCCATACCAACTTCCCTTCTTGGCTCCAATACCATTTTTTTGTACACTTAAATATTTCCTCATAATAGGTTTCACAGTCAAACCCTCTGACTCATTCACTTCCTATAGAAAGCTTTCACAGAACTGGAACAGCTGGACTGGCTAAGCTGCAGTTTCAGCAAGTCAGTCTCCAATTATGACTGTCTGCTTATTTATAGGGGTGTTGGTTTTAAGAAAGCGCAGCAGTGAATTCTCCAGAATGTGGGGGCGGGATCCCCTAACAAAGAGACAACCAGAGTCATGAGACGCAGATGGGTCAGCAGCAGCCTGCAGCTGCACATTCAAACAACCTCCAGCCTGCCGCCTGCTCCTTCCTTGTGCTGCTCCAGCTTCAGGTGCCCTTCAACACTCCACAGCCCAGGAAAACGAGGCCGTGCAATGGGGAAGCCTCAGCTCTGCCACGCACTCCCTCTCGGCTGGAAGAGGCCTTTCACAAAGACCATCGATCTAGGTGGTGCTCAGGTGCTTGTTCGTGCAATGACTATGATAGAAGACAACCTTCTCCCCTACCCCCTGAACTTGTTCTGCTTCACCTCCACCCCTCCCAGGCCTTTTCAAAATACAGCCCCTAAGTCCCATTCTAGGACTGTGGTCGGCAAACTGCGGCTCGCGAGCCACATGCGGCTTTTTGGCCCCTTGAGTGTGGCTCTTCCTAAGCCTTAGGAGTACCCTAATTAAGATAATAACAATGTACCTACCTATATAGTTTAAGTTTAAAAAATTTGGCTCTCAAAAGAAATTCCAATCATTGTACTGTTGATATTTGGCTTTGTTGACTAATGAGTTTGCCGACCACTGCTAGGAGATTCTAATTTACTAATACTGGGACAGGGCCCTGAAATCTATTTTTAACAGGCTCCCAGGTGACTGACAAGCACTCAGGTGTGGGATCTAGACCATCTGCCATCTGTTGCTTAACTCCTAATAGCCAAATGGCCATCTGGTCTCACTTTAAACACTTCCAAGGATAGGTAGCTAACTACTTACTAAGGTAATCCATTCCTTCTTTGGACTCTTACAGAGATGTTCCCTATATTCTCTATACCAGTGGTTCTCAACCTTGGCTGCACATTAGAATCCCAGAAATCAGGAGTTTAGAAAGATTCCCAGGTGATTCTAATGTGCAGCCAAGGTTGAGAACCACTGCTCTATACTGAAACAAAATCGGTTTCCCTCTAGCCATGTCATCTTAATCTACCTCTTGGCATGAGTCAGAAGTTTAATTCTTTTTTTTTTTTTTTAAATATATTTTATTGATTTTTTACAGAGAGGAAGGGAGAGAGATAGAGAGTTACAAACATCGATGAGAGAGAAACATCGATTAGCTGCCTCCTGCACACTCCCCACTGGAGATGTGCCCGCAACCCAGGTACATGCCCTTGACCGGAATCGAACCCGGGACCTTTCAGTCCGCAGGCCGACGCTCTACCCACTGAGCCAAACCGGTTTCGGCAGAAGTTTAATTCTTTTTTCCAGCTCAAGGCCCTTCAGATATTTGAAGGTAACCATCTCCCCTGCCTCCCTAACTTATTTTGCCTTGCCCCAACCCCTCCCAGGCCTCCAGTGCATTCAACTAATTGCTTCTCATGTAACAGCTGTTAAGTTCCTCTAAATATGTTCTCATTTGTCTAACTGGTGAAATAACCAAGCAAGTCGCAACTTTTTTTAGTCATAAAGTTTTACATATTCTCAACACAAGTTCACAGAATTGATTTTTTTTATCTACCAAATGGGAATAGCAAGGTAATGAAGATGACAGCACCTATAAGGCAACAAGATACAGCATAAATGCTGCTCAACTGAAGACCAGTGACAATACTGTTCAGCCTAAAGGAGAACAAAGTCTTGGAAATTCTACAAAAAATGCGCGCTTTCCCTTTATGAAGCAGGCAGCCTAATATAGTAGAGGGAGGATCTAACTATTATTCTTTACATGGAATAAGTGGAAAGAACACTGAACTTTTATAAGTCACTTAACCTTTCTGAGTCTGTTTTCTAATTGTTAAACAAACAAACAAAAAACCCCACCGATGATTAAATCAAAATAAGATGATACATGGGACATGCCTGGCACAGAAAAACGGCTCATACAGGTAATGCTGTGTTGTAATTCCAGCTGGTTCTGTCAGAAATTACCTATTGCTTACCTGCTGTATTTTCCCTTGCCAGTGGAAAGGATGCCACCACTCAGGGTGCCCCCTGAGAGGGCTGCAAAGCTGGCTGTCTCGCTGTATGGGCCCTGCATAACACTGAGTCCATCTGTAGGGCTTCCACTGGTGCTCAAGACACTGGTCAGACCTTCAATGCTACTTTCTCCAATGCTGGGATTCTTAAGGGCTCGCCAGGCATCTGCCACTGGGAATAGAAACCAAGATCTCAATTCAAGATAGCACAGCATCAACAGTCTGGCATTTTTCTGCAATGACTCTTCAGACTAGAAAATATTCACATAGAAAAATACTTATCTATTTAGTTAATGAGCAGCTACTATGTGCAGCCACCAAACACCAGGGGTTTTACTACATATCCTATATAATAAAAAGGTAATATGCAAATTGTCCCCTTGACTGGGAGTTCCACCAGGAGTTCGACCAGGGGGTAGGGCCAGCTGGCCAACTGCCATGGCCC